GGCAGCAGCAGGAGCTTTTGTAGGCAACGGTCATCACCACCATCACGGCCATCCAGGTAAACGGCAGCAGCCATTACATGCGAGCCCAAGCCCCCCTACCCAATCCCTCACCGTGGCTGCAGAGCTGGCCACGGAGCTGTGCTGCAGCCACATGCCAGCCTCCCTCTCCCCCTCCCCTGGGCAGCCAGCCGGGTGGCATGTGTGCGGCCTGCACCACCACACAGTGCCCTGCATCGCTTGCCCACAAAGCCCCCCTGCAGAGAGGCACCCCTGCCCTCACCCTGTAGCCCTGCTCCCAGCTGCGATGTGCTGCCTGGGGCTGGCAGCACCCCCCACTCTCTCAGCCCCCAACCAGCTTCCCCAGTCCTGCCCCACAGCCCCCAAGCCCCACTTACCTCTAGGATCCAGAGGCAAAGGGCATGGCTCGGCGGTGGCAGTGTTTGCCCGCTAAGCCCCACCAGCCTGCATGCAGCTACCACCACCCCGCACCGCCATGGAGCCGTGCAGCTAGTTATGGGGCATGCTGCTGCATACAAGCCCCTCTTTTCACCCCCCAGCCGGGCAGCATGTATGTGGCCTGTACACAGTGGTTCCCACCGCACTGCTTCTGCCGCGCCCTGCGCCACTTGCCCACAAAGCTGTGTAGGTGGCCGTGGGATGGTAGTGCAGGGTGCAGTGGCAGAGTTGGGGTAGCGGCCTCCATGCGAGAACCTCCTGTCAGGCCGGCTGGCATGTGTGCGGCCCACAGAGTGGCACCTCTGCCCTCACCCCCTGGCCCTGCTTCTGGGAGTGGGCACAAGGTCACACTCCCCCACTTCTTGATCTACCCCCCCACTCACCTTCCCTTTCCCCCACCCTGCCCCACCCCTTCCCCACACACACTTACCTGCTGGGGTGGGTGTCACTGCCTGCATGTCTGTGTCTGTGGGGCTGTTGCGAGGGGCATCAGGAGGGCTGTTGAGACTGTGGGGGAGATTGCGGGGTACCAGCAGTGCTGGGGGTGCTGTGGAGGGGCTTTAATTTTTATCATGGATTTGGGGTTTTTAAATCAGAGAATTTTCAATTTTTAATCAGAGAAAACCAGGATCCCTGGTGATCTTCCTGGAAAGTCATAGTTCAGCAGTGAGAGGTAGATTCCTGCTTAGCAGATTCCCAGAAATAACCAGAATTAAGGTACAAACTACAAACAGTAACCACAGTATTTGTTTATTTACTCAATACAATATATAACTAGGTTAAAAAAAAGTCACTGAAAACATCTTGCACTCTTATGATAAATAACCTATCATGAATTTATGCAGGAACAATTTAGCATAGGCATTTGATTACATACAGAAGGAGCTACACCTGTAGCTAATCACATAATTAAAATGATGTGACAGTACTATGCAACCCCAACATCCTGAAATGCTTCAATCAGTGCTGGCCACTGCAGTCCAGACTGACTGGACAGGTGGTTCCTAATAGGACCCAGCACACACCAGACACAGACCTCTACTGAGAACACTGGGTTTACTGACTATTTCTTCATCTGCTGGGCAGAATTCAAGGTACAAAGTACAAGAATGGGTCTTTTCGCCTTAACTGTTCCTGTGAAAGTCATATCTGAGCCAGAAGTAAATGAGAAAAATTTCTCTGCTTGCTTCCCCCTCCAATGAGGAGAGAGATTGGGAAACCAAGCTGCCAAATGAGGAAAATTCCCTCCTATGGTAGGTGAAACCACAGAGAAAGGAGCGGGGGTGGGTCAGGGTATTGAAAGAGTATATATAAACTAGTAGCCATAGAGACTAGCTATGACACAGCTCATCCTGCACCGTGACAGCAAACAAGGTAGGCAAAATCATCCTTACTTGTGCTTACTAACAGCACCAGGAGACAATCATAGCCAAGCTGTTTCAGTATGTGAGGTGCTTGTGATCCTATTCCAGCCTGCTGCAGTCCCAGAAAAACTGTTAGTGCAAAAGGTGGCTGATCCTCCTCCTCCTTGCTCTTTCTGGGACTTAGTGGGAGCATCTATACAAGATGCCTAAATGCACAACAGACTTTTCTATGGCACATAAGCGCATCACAGCAAAAACCGTGCTAATGAACTAATACATAGTAGAATTATTCTACTGCACATTTTCACAAAAAAATTCACCTTAGTTACTGTGCATTATCGCAGCTACCTATGCCTTTATCTGTAACCTCATATCAGAGGTACTAAACTTAATGCACAGTAGCAAAGGCACATAAATGAATGTGTAGACGCGCCCTGTGTTAGGATTCAGCTGATGATGTTTTACAAAAGTAGGTGTGTTAAATGTTTTGAGAGAAGTGTAATTGTAGAAGCTTAAATGTAAAGAAATGTAAATGTAAGAACCCAGGAAAGGCAGTAAGCAATTTAAAGGACAGGATAATATTTCATATTGATATAAAAAAAAATAGAGAAATTGTCTTAGCCCCACAAGTTGTACTTTGCTAAACAGAAAAATGAAGTAAAATACCTGGAAAAAGAAATAGCAAAGGCAACATAAACCACAGGAAGTAACTGCCTGTGTGAAGTATTGAAGAAAAGGGCTCTGGCAGGTTATATTATGTGGCCCATAAAGCTTGCTACCATATTTCCCATCAAGCTACTGGTCCTGTTTGCTGAGATTCACCCTCTTGCTCTGATACCTGTCTGGGTCTGAAGTAAAATAAGTTTTCAGGACAGTAGGTCCAAAGGAAAGGACCCCCCCCCCCGATACCCTGCCAGGAGAGGTGCAAGCTCAAGCCATGCGGGCCCCTAATTGCACTGCCATTTCAGAGTTTATTATTTTCAGCTCGTGTGCACCCATGCACGCCTCCCTCACTGCCTGCTTCCTGCCCACCACAGGCATTAGTTGAAGGCTCTTCCAGTCGAGATGAAAAGGCTCATCCTGGCAGTTTTCGCTCTGACACTGCTGGCACAAGGTGAGGCCCCACATGAACAAACCCTCGGCTGGTCTCCACTACCCCAGATGGCTCTCTCGCCAATCACCATCCCTTTGTTCACTACAAAACCACAGAGGGGAAATAACTAGACACGGACTGCTCCACTCCACCTGCCACTGAGGTTCCTGAGCTGTCCCTCTTGCTACATGACTTACATCCCCTCACTGCCATTATCTCTGAGCACATTACAGACCTCTTTGATTTTCTTCTCTGAGCATGTCTGTGAGGAAAGGCAGCACTGTGACCCTCACCCTAGAGCTGGGAAGCTGAGGAAAAGACAGGCCAAGTGACTGGCCAAGGTCAAACAAGAAGGCACAGACAGACAAGGGAACTGAATTCAAGCTGTCTAGGTTTAAATCTTAAAACACCCAGACCATGACACCCATCTACTCTCTTCTGGCTTTTCTGCCCCTATGTCACAGCCCTAAAAAGAAGAAAGGGTACAAATTCTTGTATTGAAACTTACTCCCAGGTCAGAAGAAGGCTCTTTGACACTTGCCCTTCATCTTGTTGACTCCACATTTTTTCCCCTAATTTTTAGCTGTTGTGTCACTGAAATGTTATTCCTGCCCCTACGGAAGAACTTGTGCCAATACCATCCAGGAATGCAGTCGTGACCAGGATCAATGCCTTTCACTGATTTTCCCACGTCAGGGTAAGTGAGCTAGTGGCAGAGGAAAGGGATGGGGTCATAGCCACCCTTGATGAGAGTGATACAGAGTTGAATGCATGGTGACCTCAGTGGGAAGCAGGAACCTACCAAACGAGGAAAAAGTCTTTAATATAACTACCCAACCTTAGAGGAGAGTAGGCTGAAGAGGTTGATTGCTGACTGTCAGCATTATCTGCTAGATCCAGGAGATGAACTGTAGCAAGGAGCAGCACAAGCTAACAGTGGGGATATGAAACAGAGACTTGCTGGAAAGGGAAGAGAAGGGGATGGGGTCACAAATGAATAAAGAAGAAAGCCAGGAATGGGAGAAAATATGGGGGAAAGAATAGGTAAGCTGGAGGATGGAAAGGGAAAGAAGTAAGAAAACTGGAGGATAGAAAAGGTGAGGAGAATTTCAATGGAGCAGAAAGTATCAGAAAAGAAACTAGATAGAAAGATGGATGACCCGGACTAGGGGTACAGGCTGGATGCAAGGAAAAGAGAACAGGGGAAGCGTGGGAAAAGAAAGTTTCACCCTCTCTCCCCCCCCCTCTCCCCCCCAGGTAAACAAGCTAAACGATGTGCCAGACAATTCGAGTGTGGCCTCCTTACCAGTGGGCTTCCAGACACAATAGCTTTTTGCTGTAGAACTGACCTATGCAACAGATAGGTTGAAGCTCATCTGTCCTGAAGGCTTACAGGACATCTCCCTGCTGTGCCATATGCATAGATGTCCTCAGCGAGGGGGATCTCCTCCCTCTGTGTCTCTCCCACTCTCCCCCTGCCCACACCACACTGTTTTTCTTTTACTCCCCTAGTCAAAAGTTGTTCTTTGTCAAGCTTGCTACTAGCACCTGTACTCATAGAGCTATGGGGGCATCCATACACTGCAATGAAATGAATAATAAATGGTAGTACCTCCCCAATCAGCTATGTGGCGTTTTATCCATGTTGTCCCTGTTTTTGAAAAATATGACCGTATTTCCAGTGTGACTGATGCACATGATGGTAGAGTTGGTAAAGGCCGATACAGACCAGACAGCAGGGGCAAGCTTTCCTCCTGAGTACCCCATCCATGCTGGCCTGCCACTCAGCTGGTATCCCAGGCCTTCCTTAACAAACTCCTAGTTCTGCCAATTCACCTCAATGTTGCATCACAGACAGATGTCCATTCCTCAGAGCCACTTGAGACACTGAGCACTGCTCATTCCCCTCAATCCAGCCCTTGAGACCTCTCCCACATACCCCCATTCAGAGGCATAAATGGCCACTACTGTGCCCTAGGCAATGGTGGTACGCAGTGCTGGGGAAGCAGCTGGAGGATTGCTGTTGCTGGAGGAGATGTTATCTCCCATTTTGGTTTCCTACATATGTCAAGCCAGGGCTGCTGCATGGAAGGTATGGGATGTGTTGGGAGGAGTGGGAGAGGCAGGAGAGGAGGAGGTGGGTAGGAGAGGGAAGCGTCCTTATAGCTCCATCCCAGTGCCCCTTCCTGGTACCCTTTTAGTGCCCAGGACTTGTGCCCTGCTTGCTGTCCCATGATTACACTGATATCCCCATTATGCCAATCCTGGCCTCCACACAATTGCAGCTAGAGGCTTCCTCTTGACACTCAGTACTCCCTTGGAGCCCTCCACTCCCCCAACAGCTCTGCCGCTGAATTTAAAGAATACACTGATAGGTAAATTAGCTGAAGCTGAGCTCCATACCATGGAAGCTGCATTGCTACCAATGCCCAAGCTGATTAGTTTAAAGATAGCTCAGCACTGTGAGCACTGCTGTGACTTACCTGGGCCTGATATGAAGCTTACACATAGTCTTAGCTTTGCATTAAACCAGACAGAAACAATGACATTACAGTGGGTGCATCTACATGAGACACTTTATAGCACTTTAGATTAATGTGCAGTTAAGCATTAATCCATGGGACCATGGAAGCCCCACTAACAATGTTTTGCTTTTATTTATTTAATTATCTGTTCTACCTGCAATGAATAATTGTGCGTGGTTTCAAAATAGACAAGATCCCTATCTTCTGTATTTACCCCACAGTGCCCTGGTATTGCCTTTTCCCTCCATCTGTTTACTAAAGAGGTACATCATGTGTACATAATTGTGTAAGAATTGTAGTCAGTTAATAAACTGCAGAAATATACAAACATACAACTAACAGTAAATTAGTTTGTTTCACCTGGCCCATTCCAGGGCGAAAATCGCCTCTCCCTTCACTCCTTCCCTCAATTTTAAACCGTTCCCATAAATAACACAAAGGGCCAAATCATATTTTATTTTTATGCATGAGTACTACTTACTTGGATTGATCAGCACCAAAAGTGGCACTTACTTAGATTTAAGATTTTATTTTCATCCCTGTCAGAATAGGATTACCTGGCTGAACACATAACTGTGTGTTCATAGCAGGGAAGGGCAGTGGGGAGGAAAGAAAATACAAAGTTGCTGTGATAATACAGGAGACCCCTGTATGCCCTGTCTCCACCACTGTGGGAAAAAGGAAGCCACAGATGCAGCAGCTCTCCTGCTTATTTGTTTCAAGGGGTGCTTGTACATGTGATGAAATTGGCCTTTAAAGTGGCTTAATTGTCCTTTTGCACTGCTTTAATGGCATCACTGTTTATATTTGCAGCGGCGTATTTCGTTTTAATTTTGTCACACTATACACACGTGGCTGCATATTTCACTTCAAATGACCTTGTTATGTAGCAAAGTAAAACATATCCGAGGTATTTTAGTTGGTATGTAACAAAGTGCAATGGTGCGCAGGGCACTGGAAGCCCAGACATGCTTGGGGAATCTCAGGCTTGGTGGGTTTCAAGAGCCCTGTGCATCAGCCCTGTTGCCTTTCCTGGCTCACCAGGGACACCCAGCCACACTCCTGGCACTTTGCCACAGTGCTCCAGGGGCAAGCAAGCCCATTCCAGGCAGTACCAGGTGGCGGTAAGGCAGTGGAAATGGTGCATAGGGCGCTGCAGCCTCCTGTGGCTGGAGAGCCATCTGCTGTTGGGCCACGCAGCCCCTAAGCTGTGGAGAACCCCAGACCTTCCCTCCATGGTGGCAGCACCCCTGAAGCAGCATCCACCCAGTAGCACCCCACCCAGGCAGTCCCAGGGGGTGCCACCAGCATGGAGGGAAGTACCAGGCCCCGTGCAGCCCAGGGGTTGTGCAACCTGGCAGCAGCTCATGCAGGCAGGCTCCACTGAGAAGAAAAAAAAAAAGAAAAAAAAGTGATAAGGAGCCTGATTTTTTTTTTCCTCCTGGAGTCTGCCTGCCTGTCCCGTGGCTGGGGGCAAGCTGCCGGCATGCCCTGAGCTGCAGGGGGGCCCAGGCCTTCCATCTGTGGTGGCAAGACTCCCCAGGTAGCACCCACCTGCTAGTATCCCACCCGGATCATCCCAGGGGGCACTGCCGACACAGAGGGAAGTCTCGGACCCCCCGCAGCTCAGGGACCGCTCAGCCTGCTTGCAGCTTGTCCCCCAGCAGTGGGAGATGTAGACAGGCTCCAGGAGAACAAAAGAAAAAAGCAGTAAGGGGTCCAGTCCTGCCTGCCCGCCTCTCCTGCAGCCGGGGGCCAAGCTGACAGTGGGCCCTGGTCTGCAGGGGAGCCCGGTCCTTCTCCCTGTGGCAGCGGAGCCCCCCACGTGGCACCTGCCCACTAGCAACCCACCTAGAGTGTCCTGAGGTGCACTGCCATAGAAGAGGAAAGGGCCAGCCCACCCACGCAGATCTGGGGCTGCGCGACGCAGTGTAAGCTCATGCGGCCAGGCTCTGCTAAGAAGAAAAAAAAAAGAAAAAAGTTGTGAGGGGCCTGGTCCTTTTTTTTTTCTTTTTTTTCCTCTCTCAGAGCCTGCCCACATCTCCGTTGGCCAGAAGATAAGCTGCTGGCAGGCCGAGCGGTCTTAGTTGTGGGGGACTCCGGTCCGGTCCTTCCCTCCACAGCAGCAGCACCCTCTGGGACTACCCAGGTGGGCTGCTACCAGGCAGGTGCTACCCCACATGGCTTTTTTTTTTTTTTTAAATTGTGCAGCCTGCCTACAGCAACAGTGGAGAGGGGCAGAGCGGGAGGTTGGTGACCTGACAGGGGGCCCATCATTGTGAAGTGACAGACATCAGTAAATTGAAATTGTGTTGATTGAAAACCCACCATTAAAAACCCACCAATTAAAAACCTAATGTTTTGATTTAGGGAGAACTAAACCCCCATTAAGTGTACAAGCAGCCAATGTTTCCATTGCACCCCAAGGGAAGCAATATTCCAGCGGCTCCTTACCCAGACTTCATATACAGTTTATTATGGGGGACAAGCCCAGCAACCATTTCCTAAAGTGAGGGGATCCAGTCATCCTTTATCTGTACAGGATCTGCCACTGATAGCTGCTCCCCAAAACCAGGGAGCTGCAAAACAACCTTCTTTTCCTTGGGGGTAACGCACACTTCTGTTGCCTGTCCTTTCACCCCAAATCCTTGCCTATACCCCCCATGCAGTTCAGTTTCCAGGCCAGCATTTCCAGCCAAGATACCTGCTACTTGGAGTCACTTCCACCCAGGCCTGTAGGCAATAAGCACCTTAACACTAGTCAATAAGCAAACAAAGTACTTCTCAATGTCCTGATCTGTGCCAGGTAACACCTGCAGCATCAGGCTTCCAACAGTTTGTCTTTCACGCCACTCATCTCAAGAACTCACTGGAGTAACAAACTCCCTCCAGCTTCACCACCTGAGGTAGCAGCTAGAAACTAGGGGTGCACCGATAGAGATTTTGGGGGGGGATGCCGATAGCTGATATTTAAGGAGGCATATTGGCTGATACCGATCTGATTTCTGATACAGCTACCTCCAGCTCGTAAGTCCAGTGTGGTGGAAGGGGATGGAGAAGGGAAGGGGCATGCGGGGCTCAGATCAACATCCTCCACCATGAGGGAGAGGGCAGGGGCAGGTGCTGTGCATGTGGGGTGAAGGTGGGGAGCTGCAGCTCGGTTGGGAGGTGGCTTCCACTGCTGCTTGCACCCTGGAAGGGCACAGGGGGGGTGTACCCCCCTGATCTGCACAGGGAGGCTTGGGGTGGGGACTGGGCTTGAAGAGGGCACTGGCGGTGCTGAGAGGATGCTGCATCCACCCCAAATTTCACCGCCACTCCGCTCCCAGCGCCACAGCCACCAGCCACCCAGCACTGCTCCAGCCTCCACCCAGCCACCCAGCCCTGCTCCAGCCTCCACCCACGTGCCAGGAAGAGCCAGGGCAGCACCAGGAGGCTGGCAGCGGCAGCGGCACTGGGAGGCACATTTCATGGGAGGCATGGGGCCATCCTTACCACCTGATTACAAGCTGATCAGGACCACTCTGGGGCTTGGGCCCTAGGGCAGTCTCTGCAATTTTTCAGTTTAAGATGCAATGGACACCATCTCCTAAGTTATTACACATATTTTGTGATTAACTGTTTAGTTGCATCTTAAGTGTAACATCTGCCAGGGGCTTCAGACATACACTTAGCAAGATGGCTTTGACAGATGTTACTGCCCTGAGAAAGAAGTTGAAGTAAGTAGCCTCCTGAGGTCTCTTCCAAACTATTTTTTCTCTGATTCTACACAGCCCAACAGTTTCAGCCTTTGTTCCAAGTCATAGTACAAGAGTTGCAATTAAGTACCCCAGAAATCTGGTATAAAGGTCCTGAGCAACCATACTGAGATATCCTGGTGGTAAGCATTAGAGTCCAGTGGTAGGAAATTTCCATTGGTGTATATCAAACCCAGCAACCCCAGGAACTGACACAGGGAGCTGGCAAGGGAAGTCTGCACTTTCATATAAGGGATGCTGGAGAAATGCAGCATCAATAAGGAGAAATGCAATCAACAAGGAGAAATGCAAAGTGCTGCACCTAGGGAGGAAAAATGATGCAACTTCAGACTGTTGCTCCTTGTTCCTGGATTGCCTGTGCACTGGTGTATTGTTCTCCCAGCAGATGTCAGGCTGATTGAAGTCCCGTATGAGAACCAGGGCCTGTGACCAGAAAACTTCTGCTAGCTGTTTGAAGACAGCCTCATCCACCACTTCCTTCTGGCCTGGTGGTCTGTATCAGACACTCACCATGACATCACCCTTATCACTAAATATATGCAGGAACATTATGATCATGAATTTAGCATAGGCATTTGAATATACACACAGGAGGAGCTACGCCTGTATCTAAGCATATAATTAAAATGATAATGGTAATTCAAGATAATGAATGGACACAAAGATCAGAATTGAAATTCATCAGTTGGTTGCTAAACCCCCCCCCTAAAAAACCAAAACAAAAAAACCCCCAAATAACACAACAAGATTTGGATTTGTTCAATGGAGCAAGAAAGACAGGACTTTGTTTAGTTTATAGTTTTAATCAAATTTGAACTGAAGGGGGGGAAAAGTGAGAAATAGAAGTTACATGAAAAAATCTGACCAGTTCTAGATTAATATTCCCAAGTAAACATGAGAAAGCTTTTCAAGTTCTACTTCATGGTCCATTTCTGTTTAAGTGACAGCTATTCTGGCAGAGAAGGTATCTTCAGGCTGTCAACGCTTCTCGCTAAATACTGTTTTGTTTGTCCTGGAGCATAGTTTCTGGTCAAAAAAAAGTCACCTTGCCCTATAAGGAATGTCAGTGAATGTTTTCAGTATCAGAAGGGCTGTGTTGGTCTCACCGCAACTTCATGGACTAACAACTTATCTGCTACCCCTGGCAAAATAAATATATAGAGCTTCTACCAAACATAGTATTTAGAGTACACACTTTACAGTACTGAATATGCTACAGTCTACCAAATTCTGGGGAATAGACCAGTGAGCTCAAATACTTTCAGAACAAATAAGGCAAGCAAGGGGAAGTTTCCAAAGAAGGGCATACTAGAAGGATATATCTGGAGATATATTTGAACAAACGCATTTGGGCTTAAATGTTATAAAGCAGAGTGATCAGCATAATATCATACTTTAAGATTTTATCACGGAACTGAGTGTAGGATCAGAAAATAAACAGCCTTCAGGCAAGACCATGAGCTACCCAGTGAATTTGACAGCAGTAGGCATAAGGAGGA